CCTGTTGCGCTTGCTTCTGCCTTCGACCGTGCTCAGGGGTAATAACCCTTACTAAGTAGAATTCTCCTTTCTGTGTTGCCGGAGAAGAAGGGCGGAAGCCCCTCTTCTATTGTAAAAGGTATAGAACATTTCTCGTGCATGTCACTCCGGCTACGCCATCCACAGTATGAGTGCATTCCAAACCATCAAAATACAAAAGCATCAGTCTCTTTTATTTCTAACCCTCATCAGATTGTGATGCCAAATGTGCGCAACCATGTTTAGATGCTAATTTTCAACTAGGTTGCGAAAGTTAGACTTTTTCTCCTAGTGCGGTTTAGAAATAAGAGACTGATGCTTTGTATTTTGACGTTTTTGGAATGCAGCCTAATTTTGTGTAGAACCCACATCGAAATTTGCAAAAAAGTGCATAGTGCAAACCGAATTTATTAATAAGCTAGTGGTCGGAAATTTGAAACATTAATTTTAAATAAAAGTTTAATCCCTTGATTACACGTGTATGTTAAAGTTTTTGGATGCGGGTTACGCGTTTGGACACAATAACCGAAAATCATTGTACAAATAACTAAACCGGACCCAAGTTTCTCGATAAGGGGCAACAACGATTCTTGTTTGTTCGTTTATATAAAGGAGTGGATAAAAATATCCGTATATGTGAAAGGCATATTTATCTCTTTAAATGAACACCACTAATATTTCCTGCAAACACAAATCAATTTACATCTTTTATCTCGCCTCCGTCACAGAATTGTTTTCGTACAAAATTACGCAAAAAAGCTTACTCGCTCGTTTTTAGGCATGCCATTGTTACGAATTTCGAAAGTTCGAAAATACGATTCGGATTGCAGCATACTATTTCTACGATTTGTAGCAAAATCCAAATACGAAAGAGTTGCAGAATAGGGATGTAAATCATTGTTTCGCGATTTTTTGTTGCATATTCGGGTAAACTATGGTGAACATCTAGATATTAATATGCGTTCATTTCGTGCATTTATTTATATGATTTTAGTACTAATAAAGTTGAGCTGGATGAAATAGTTTACGAATAACTTTTGAACGGTTTAAAGAAATTTGTTTCAGCCTTCGGATTCTTAATACTGGCAGTAATACGCGTCGTTCGATTCCTTTGCATCATTTTTCGGTGGGGACCATGAACTGCACTATAACCTTTGTTGTAGTAGTGAAGATAATTGAATATCAAATTGCTTAAATAACATTAGTAACTACATTGCGAGAGCAATCAATTCAGACAAAGAAGGCCTGCCCAAACAACCCCACCAAATTTCATGATATAATCCATATACGTTCACTGAAATCGCGAATGATTCCGGATTGGAAAGCTAATAAAATTATAGTTTAAAAAACTAAAACCTCCCTATTATAATTGCCATTCGTATTGTCATCAAGTATGTAACTTGACAATAGAAATCGCTGCATCTTTTAGGCGCATCAATATTACATTGTTACATCACGAGCTAATAAAAGGAAGGTAAAAAGGTGTACGCACGCGGCGATTCTGCGTTCAACTTTTGCTTTCAACTCAGGCAGGGTTGCACGAAAAAAAAGTTGAATGGCTAAATGTTGGCTGGCGACCAACTTTGTTGAAAGGCCGTTAAACCAAAAGTAGAATGCAAAGTTGAACAATGCTATCGTCTTTTCATGCCGAATATTTTGATATTTTTAGCCATTAAATTTTTTTTCGTGGAAACAAATGCAGTTGGGCTCCAAATCTCAAAAAAAAAAAAAAAAAAAATATTGGAATCGATAGAGATGATTGAGCTGAGTATAACGGTATACTTCTTTTTTTGGGCAAACAACAACAAAAATTATCAAAGGTTAAAGTTCAAAATTAGCAATTTTGAAATCAAGATTTCTTAAAAACGGATGGATGGATCTTGAAAAGTTTGATCTTATTTAATAGGAAATTTGATTCCCTTTAATTTGGTATACGTACTTTATATATGTGTTGTATAGTTCTTACAAAAATTGAATTAATGTAAAATAATTATAAAAAAACACCTTTTGCAGAGAACAACTTTCTGCGTAGGCGGCCTTCGGCCGCTCTTAGGGATTATAACCCTCACAACGTAGCATTCTCTTTCTGTGTTGCGAAGAAAAGGCACTGAACACCTATTGCAGAGAACACCTTTCTGCGTAGGCGGCCTGCGGCCGCACTTAGGGATTATAACCCTCACAACGTAGAATTCTCTTTCTGTGTTGCGAAGAAAAGGCACTGAACACCTTTTGCAGAGAACACCTTTCGGCGTAGGCGGCCTGTGGCCGCACTTAGAGATTATAACCCTCACAACGTAGAATTATTTTTGTGTTGTGAAGAAAAGGCACTGAACACCTTTTGCAGAGAACACCTTTCTGCGTAGGCGACGTCGGCCGCACTTAGGGTTTGTAAGCTTTTTTTAATAATTATTTTACATTAATTCAATTTTTGTAAGAACTATACAACATATATATAAAGTACGTAAAGCAAATTAAAGGGAATCAAATTTGCTATTAAATGAGATCAAAATTTTCAAAATCCATTCATACGTTTTTGAGAAATCTTGATTTCAAATTGCTTATTTTGAACTTTAACCTTTGATAATTCTTGTTGTTGTTGTTTGCCCCAACAAAGAAGTATACCGTTATACTCAGCTCAATCATCTCTATCGATTCCAATATTTTTTTTTTAAATTTGAGATTTGAAGCCCAACTGCATTTATGGCCTCTTGCCATATTAATGAATAATTGAGGGACTTATTGGTACATATGTATATCAAACCTGCTGCCAAAGCTGCTCCAGCTTTTCGAGTTATCATTGCCATAGGGAAATTCCAAGGGGTTATAAGCGCAGCTACGCCCAATGGTTGTTTTAATACAATTAATTCTCGATCCTTGGTTGAACTTGGGATAATCTCTCCATAAATTCGTCGAGCCTCTTCACCAAACCACTCAATAAAAGCGTTACCGTAAGCAACTTCTCCACGGGCTTCATTTAGTGGCTTTCCCGATTCAGCAGTCATAATTGAAGATATCTCATCAGCGTTTTCCTCAATCAAACAATACCATTTCTGCAATGTATAATTTAACATAATACTGAACATTTAATTAATGTTAACTCCTACAACCTTCAATAAA